CAACCACACTGGCCAGGTTGGCATTATGGATATCTAATTTACCCAACCACACTGGGCAGGTTGGGATGGTGGATATCTAATTTACCCAACCACACTGGCCAGGTTGGCATTATGGATATCTAATTTACCCAACCACACTGGCCAGGTTGGCATTATGGATATCTAATTTACCCAACCACACTGGCCAGGTTGGCATTATGGATATCTAATTTACCCAACCACACTGGCCAGGTTGGCATTATGGATATCTAATTTACCCAACCACACTGGCCAGGTTGGCATTATGGATATCTAATTTACCCAACCACACTGGGCAGGTTGGGATGGTGGATATCTAATTTACCCAACCACACTGGCCAGGTTGGGATGGTGGGTATCTAATTTACCCAACCACACTGGCCAGGTTGGGATGGTGGATATCTAATTTACCCAACCACACTGGCCAGGTTGGGATGGTGGATATCTAATTTACCCAACACACTGGCCAGGTTGGCATTATGGATATCTAATTTACCCCAACCACACTGGGCAGGTTGGGATGGTGGATATCTAATTTACCCCAACCACACTGGCAGGTTGGGATGGTGGATATCTAATTTACCCAACCACACTGGGCAGGTTGGGATGGTGGATATCTAATTTACCCAACCACACTGGCCAGGTTGGGCATTATGGATATCTAATTTACCCAACCACACTGGGCAGGTTGGATGGTGGATATCTAATTTACCCAACCACACTGGGCAGGTTGGGATGGTGGATATCTAATTTACCCAACCACACTGGCCAGGTTGGCATTATGGATATCTAATTTACCCAACCACACTGGCCAGGTTGGCATTATGGATATCTAATTTACCCAACCACACTGGCCAGGTTGGCATTATGGATATCTAATTTACCCAACCACACTGGCCAGGTTGGCATTATGGATATCTAATTTACCCAACCACACTGGGCAGGTTGGGATGGTGGATATCTAATTTACCCAACCACACTGGGCAGGTTGGGATGGTGGATATCTAATTTACCCAACCACACTGGCCAGGTTGGGATTAGTGGATATCTAATTTACCCAACCACACTGGGCCAGGTTGGGATGGTGGATATCTAATTTACCCAACCACACTGGCCAGGTTGGCATTATGGATATCTAATTTACCCAACCACACTGGCCAGGTTGGCATTATGGATATCTAATTTACCCAACCACACTGGCCAGGTTGGCATTATGGATATCTAATTTACCCAACCACACTGGCCAGGTTGGGATGGTGGATATCTAATTTACCCAACCACACTGGGCAGGTTGGCGATGGTGGATATCTAATTTACCCAACCACACTGGGCAGGTTGGATGGTGGATATCTAATTTACCCAACCACACTGGCCAGGTTGGGGATGGTGGATATCTAATTTACCCAACCACACTGGCCAGGTTGGGATGGTGGATATCTAATTTACCCAACCACACTGGCCAGTGTGGCATTATGGATATCTAATTTACCCAACCACACTGGGCAGGTTGGGATGGTGGATATCTAATTTACCCAACCACACTGGGCAGGTTGGGATGGTGGATATCTAATTTACCCAACCACACTGGGCAGGTTGGGATGGTGGATATCTAATTTACCCAACCACACTGGCCAGGTTGGCATTATGGGATATCTAATTTACCCAAACCACACTGGGCAGGTTGGGATGGTGGGTATCTAATTTACCCCAACCACACTGGCCAGGTTGGCATTATGGATATCTAATTTACCCAACCACACTGGCCAGGTTGGGATGGTGGATATCTAATTTACCCAACCACACTGGGCAGGTTGGGATGGTGGATATCTAATTTACCCAACCACACTGGCCAGGTTGGGATGGTGGATATCTAATTTACCCAACCACACTGGCCAGGTTGGCATTATGGATATCTAATTTACCCAACCACACTGGGCAGGTTGGGATGGTGGATATCTAATTTACCCAACCACACTGGGCAGGTTGGGATGGTGGATATCTAATTTACCCAACCACACTGGGCAGGTTGGGATGGTGGATATCTAATTTACCCAACCACACTGGCCAGGTTGGCATTATGGATATCTAATTTACCCAACCACACTGGGCAGGTTGGGATGGTGGATATCTAATTTACCCAACCACACTGGCCAGGTTGGCATTATGGATATCTAATTTACCCAACCACACTGGCCAGGTTGGCATTATGGATATCTAATTTACCCAACCACACTGGCCAGGTTGGGATGGTGGGTATCTAATTTACCCAACCACACTGGCCAGGTTGGCATTATGGATATCTAATTTACCCAACCACACTGGCCAGGTTGGCATTATGGATATCTAATTTACCCAACCACACTGGCCAGGTTGGCATTATGGATATCTAATTCACCCAACCTCACTGGGCAGGTTGGGATGGTGGATATCTAATTTACCCAACCACACTGGCCAGGTTGGCATTATGGATATCTAATTTACCCAACCACACTGGGCAGGTTGGGATGGTGGATATATACAGTTGACATCGGAAGTTTACATACATTCAGGTTGGAGTCATTAAACTTGTTTTTCAACACCTCCACAATTTCTTGTTAACAAACTATAGTTTTGGCAAGTCGGTTAGGACATCTACTTTGTGCATGACACAAGTAATTTTTCCAACAATTGTTTACAGACGGATTATTTCACTTATAATTCACTGTATCACAATTCCAGTGGGTCAAAAGTTTACATATACTAATTTGACTGTGCCTTTAAACAGCTTGGAAAATTCCAGAAAATGATGTCATGGCTTTATACACTTCTGATAGGCTAATTGACATACTTTGAGTCAATTGGAGGTGTACCTGTGGATGTATTTCAAGGCCTACCTTCAAACTCAGTGCCTCTTTGCTTGACATCATGGGAAAATCAAAAGAAATCAGCCAAGACCTCAGGAAAGAAATTGTAGACCTCCACAAGTCTGGTTCATCCTTCGGAGCAATTTCCAAACGCCTGAAGGTACCACATTCATCTGTACAAACAATAGCCCTCAAGTATAAACACCATGGGACCACGCATCCATCATACCGCTCAGGAAGGAGACGCGTTCTGTCTCCTAGAGATGAACGTACTTTGGTGCGAAAAGTGCACATCAATCCCAGAACAACAGCAAAGGACCTTGTGAAGATGCTGGAGGAAACCGACACAAAAGTATCTATATCCACAGTAAAACGAGTCCTATATCGACATAACCTGAAAGGCCTCTCAGCAAGGAAGAAGCCACTGCTCCAAAACCGCCATAAAAAAAGCCAGACTACGGTTTGCAACTGCACATGGGGACAAAGATCGTACTTTTTGGAGAAATGTCCTCTGGTCTGATGAAAAAAAATATAACTGTTTGGCCATAATGACCATCATTATGTTTGGAGGAAAAAGGGGGTTACTTGCAAGCCGAAGAACACCATCCCAACCGTGAAGCACGGGGGTGGCAGCATCATGCTGTGGGGGTGCTTTGCTGCAGGAGGGACTGGTGCACTTCA